TCTGCTTCATATGATTGCCATAAAGTAGGAAAAAAATATAGTGCATGTATAATTTTATACACTGCATCATAGAGTATATTCCAGAGAGAACTTCTGTTTTGACTAGGCACACGTGAGAATCAAATACTTGGCTTACATTTTTCTACATTTGGTGACTGCAAGAATTTTCCACAAGAAACCTTCCATGCTCCATGCATTTCAAACCTCATTTCTCTTCCACCATCCATGTATTTCTGGTTCCAGGAGGGAAACATGCAAAGCTTAATTGACCCCTGACCCTGCCAAAGTGTCAGCAGAGCAGGTAAAAGGAGCATTTTAAGAAGCCATTCCTAAACCAGAATGGCCAGCAATAACCTGGCAATATACAGAAGTGACTGCCTACCGCATAAATGTATTCTCCCAAATTTAAACTAAATGTTTTTCCAACTTAACTTCTCCTAACCTAGAACTCCAGAATTCCCATGGTCACCCATCACCACCCAACACTAAAAGAAACAGAGAGTTTTCTTGTGAGTTATGGTTACAGTACCTTATTTTTGCTAATTTTGCACTGACCACACGAATACATTGCTAGGGCCCGTTCCAGGCCCTTGGAAAGAGCCAACGCACATGAAGGCCCTAAAGATTAAGCTTTGTTACCTTCATGGAAATGCTTTCTTTCTGCTTTGTTTTGTTTTGAGACGGAGTCTTGCTCTTTTGCCAGGCTGGAGAGCGGTGGCACAATCTCGGCTCACTGCAACCTCCATCTCCTGGATTCAAGCAATTCCCCTCCTTCAGCCTCCTGAGTAGCTGAGACCACAGGCACGCATCACCATGCCTGGCTAATTTTTTTTATTTTAGTAGAGACAGGGTTTCACCACGGCCAGATGGTCTTGATCTCCTGACCTCATGATCCGCCCGCCTCAGCCTCCCAAAGTGCTGGGATTATAGGCATGAGCCATTGCTCCTGCCTCTTTCTGCTTTTTAGGCAAAGGGATTTTATTTAACATGTGAGAGAGAACACGAGCAAGGGCTCTGAAGAGGTGTAGATACATAGAGAACTGAGGGGACCCTTGTCTATAAGGCTCCTGAAGATCTGACTCTGGAGGCTGCTGGAAAGCAGGCAAAGAAAGGGCAAGGGGTAAGAGCTTTTGGCAGGAGAGAGTCAAAATGAAAGTAGTTCAGGCCAGGCACAGTGGCTAGTGGCTGTAATCCCAGCACTAGGATTACAGTAGTGTAGGCCGAGGCAAGAGGATCGCTTGGGCCCAGGAGTTTGAGACCAGCCTCGGCAATATGGCGAAACACCATCTCTACAAAAAAATACAAAATATTAGCCAGGCGTGGTGGCACATGCCTGTAGTCCCAGCTACTTGAGAGGTTGAGGTGGGAGGATTGCTTGAGCCCAGGAGGTTGAGGCTGCAGTGAGCTGTGATCATGCCACTGCACTCCAGCCTGGGTGACAGAGACCCTATCTCCAAAGAAAACAAAGTGAAAGCAGTTTAAAATACGAGTTTCAGTGAATGCCTGCTGAGCCTTAGGTATTTGCAAAGCCCTAAAGAAAGACATACAGATTTCAGTAAGACACAGAACTCAATATGGCAAAAGAACCATAATAGGTATTAGTTATCTTTTATGGTAATTATCTACATAATAAGAGTAGGCACGTTCCATCTTCTGAGAATATGCTGTTTAGGGTGGACTATGGATCTAAAGACCATTCTACTGAAATGCTGTGATGGTGTTCCATTAGACAACAATCTATGAGGACTCACATACAGGAGTGTATGAAAAAATAATTGGGACTAGTGGTCCTGTCAGGGCACCATCTCCACTAGAATTTTAAATCAACATCTCGACTTGTCCCCAGAAGTCAAGATGTGAATGACAGAGATCACAGAGAAATCCTGCTTTCACCTATTTCAGTTCATACTCCCTGATGTCTCCCAGTCATCATCAAGAGTATTCCAGCTTGACGAGAGCTAATGCATCTGGGCTTCTAGGTGATGGGCTAAGAGATGCAGCAAACCATAATGGCACACGTTTGCCTAGGTAACAAACCTGCACAGCCTGCGCATGTACCCCAAAATCTAAAAAATGAAATGAAATAAAACAAGAATATCCAGCTTATGTCATGAACCACTGCATTGTTTCCTGAGAGTTATTAAACAGTGACCACAGGAAAAACAGGGTTAGCCAGGGAGTGCCTAGTTACAACAGGCAAAGAAGAGAAAAATAAGAAATTATGCATGAGAAAAGGAAAGAATTAACCAGAATAGTTGGCAGTTAAGACCTTGTAATGAGTAGGAGAGAGCAGCAAGGGCCTAGGTTTATGTTGCTTTGAAGACTGAAAGAGATGGGCATATTTTGTGCCCTAAGTCAGTGGTGCCGAATATATGGATTTTATGTGTTGGCCAATATGCTTGGATTTTAAGTTGCTTACTTATTTATTCAGTAGCTATTGACTGAGTGTCTATAATATGTGTGTCTTATGAGCACTACTGGTGAGGGAGAAAAAGCCATGTTCAAGACAGACAAGGTTCCTGTTCCCACAGGGCTCACATTTCCATCAGAAAAAGAGGGGAAATAAAAAGTTTTAAAGCATAATAATTTCAGATACTAAGTTGCTATAAAACTATAAAAGGGGGCTGGGCACAGTGGTTCACACCTGTAATCCCAGCACTTTGGGAGGCTGAGGCGGGTGGGCGGATCACCTGAGGTCAGGAGTTGGTCAGCCGGTCCAGGTCCTCTCTATTCTCTGCTCGCTGCTCTTCGCCATCCTTCTCGCCTTCCTCCTCGCCATCGCCTACTTGATCGTTAAAGGTATTAAAGCCGAGGCCTTGAAAGTCTGTTCGAGTCAAGTTGAGCCAGGGTGTGGCTCTCGCCTGCACCCATCTCCCTTTCCCTCGCGCTGCCCAAGCCCGCAGGCTAACAGCTGCTTTCACCTATCCTTATTTGCGTCTTTCTTTGCTCTCTAGCTCTTTGCCTTTTTTTTTTTTTCTTCTTTTTTTTTTTTTTTTTTTTTTTTTTTTTTTTTTTTTTTTGAGACAGAGTTTCGCTCTTGTTACCCAGGCTGGAGTGCAATGGCGCGATCTCGGCTCACCGCAACCTCCGCCTCCTGGGTTCAGGCAATTCTCCTGCCTCAGCCTCCTGAGTAGCTGAGATTACAGGCACGTGCCACCATGCCCAGCTAATTTTTTGTATTTTTAGCAGAGACGGGGTTTCACCATGTTGACCAGGATGGTCTCGATCTCTCGACCTCGTGATCCACCCGCCTCGGCCTCCCAAAGTGCTGGGATTACAGGCTTGAGCCACCGCGCCCGGCCTTGCCTTTTCTAATTGGAAAGTCCTGATCCATGGTCAGGAGACCCATTTTTTAAAAGGATCTTTTGATTAAATGGGTACTCTTGAAGAAATATCTTCGAGTCCTTGAACATGGGAGATGAAATATTGGCAAAATTAAACAAAACGCGAAACACCCACCATTAAAAGGAGACTATGAAAAGTTCGTATAATTAAAATAGGCTATATATGTTCAGTGGCCTTCATCGACAAATAAAGATGTGCTGTCCACCAATTCTGCTACACATAGAATCCTGAGGGACAAAGATTTCCATCGCATAGTCCAAGTTTCTACTTTTGTAAGTAAAATAATTAGCCTCTCTTAGCGTTTAAGTTTGTATCCAGGTGTAGTGCACAGAGTTCTATTGCAGGAAGTGTAGTCCACTCTTCCTCTAATTATTTTTTTGTCTGAAGTTGAAATATTGGCCAGTTGAAAGTTTATTCCAAGGCATACGGATGTATGATTTAGTTGACCAGTAGCATATTGCAGTGGAAAGAAGCAAAGTTAAGTTGAAATTTCCGTTCTCACTAGTTTGTGACCTTTGCCAAGTTATGGGAAAAAAAAAAAAAACTTTGTTGTATGAAAAGCACTCAAAACATTGTCACTGAAGCGTTACCTTTGTACTTCATTAATTACCATTAAATCTATTTAACTCCAGTTTTTATTTGTCCTCACTGCTTCCCAGCTTTTAGTAGGCTGCAGATGGTATGGGTCTAAAACCTTTTACCTCTTCATAAAATGCTAAACTGTGAATGTTCATAAAATATAAACTGTCGGTCGTAAATGATTGGCCGCCAAGGCATCATCTCTTTATCATTCCTTTCCCCCACTCTTTTTTTCTGTTTTTTCAATCCTGATAGTTTTGTCTCCTGGGTGGTTTCTCTTTTGCTCAGACACTGCTTTTGTGTCATAAAGTCACAAAACCGTAAGTGAAATTCAGTTGCAGAAGACATTGAACTGTGCTTATTTTGAAGAATGGAGAAAGGAACGGAAGTCAACCTAGTATGCTTTTTAGTCTTCACAAAAACCCTAGGGAATAAACAGTACTCCCATTCTATGTACAGTTTAAAAAAAAAAAAAAAAAAACTCTGTAGTGAGCTGAGACTGCACCACTGCACTCCAGCCTGGGTGACAGTGAGACTCCGTCTCAAAAAAAAAAGAACCTCCCGGGAAACAGCAGCCTAGTTTTGGAGTATAAGATGTGGGTTCGTGAAAGCCAACCACCAAGACAAAGCAGTGTGAATAGAGCAGACAGTGGGATAGAGAATTTCACAGAAGACAGGTCAGCTGAGAGGCCTGTACACAGGGTGTTGAGGAACCACATGTGGGAGCCAAGAGGCCTGCCTTGTGCCTGGCCCAGGCTTACCCCACCTCTGGCCTCACCTCCTCCAGGAAGCCTTCCCAGCTACCCAAAGCACAGTCCGGTGGCCTTGTAGGTCCCCATAGTACCCTGAGCCTGCACCTTGGTGGCACTTCCTACGCTGTCCTTTGCTAGCTGTTTGCGCCTCTGTCTCACTGTTAGATTCTGAGCTCCCACAGGCAGAGACCCACTTATTCCTGTGTGTCCCCAGCCCAGTCCCTGTCACATTTCAGTGTAAACAACTCAGACTCACTTCACAAAACTGGCCCACAAGAAAGTGTGATGTATCTCATGTACAAAAATATCGACTCCCACCTTACAGGGAGGGGGATGGGGATGTCGAATTTGGAAACTGGAGGGGACACTGGTGGACGGACTGGGTGCAAGGAGTTGGTGTTGATAAGAGGAGCAGGACGCCAGAGTCCCAGCCCTGGAACCGTTCAGAGTGGAACAGGCACCACCTGTAATCTACTATGTCCCTGACTTCATCTCTAAAGAAGAGGAGGAGTATTTGCTTCGACGGGTTTTTAATGCCCCAAAGCCAAAGTGGACCCAGCTCTCTGGGAGAAAGTTACAGAACTGGGGTGGGCTTCCCCATCCCCGGGGAATGGTTCCTGAGCGGCTGCCTCCATGGCTCCAGCGCTACGTGGACAAAGTATCCGACCTCAGCCTCTTTGGAGGCTTCCCAGCTAACCATGTACTCGTGAACCAGTATCTACCTGGGGAGGGCAGCATGCCCCACGAGGACGGACCACTGTACTACCCGACTGTCAGCACCATTAGCCTTGGTTCCCACACCATGCTGGACTTCTACGAGCCGCGGCGGCCAGAGGATGATGACCCTACGGAACGGCCCTAGGCCCCGCCCCGGCCCACCACCTCGCTGCTACCGGAACCGCGCAGCCTGCTGGAGCCCCGCAGCCCTGCGGACGCGCGCCTCCTCCACGGGATCGCTGCCGCCTGCGCAGACGCGCTGGATGCCGCCTCCCCACCGCCCAGCGTGGCCGCCTGCCCGTTAGCGCGACCCAGAGCCGTCGCTAACTTCAGCGCCATGACGGAAAGCGAGAACCTCCGCATGTCCCGACACGCTGACACCGTTCTCGCGAGAATTCGACGGCCACGCAGACACCGTTCTCGCGAGAATTCGACGGCCGAGAACAGGCGATGGCGGCGATGGCAGCTTCTGCTGTCCTACCTCTCCCGCTGCTCAGCCGAGGCCTGCATGGAACCCCAGATCACCCCTTCCTACTACACCACTTCCGATGCCGTCATTTCCACTGAGACTGTCTTCATCGTGGAGATCTCCCTGACGTGCGAGAACGGGGTCCAGAACATGGCTCTCTATGCTGACGTTGGTGGAAAACAATTTCCTGTCACCCGGGGCCAGGACGTGAGACGTTATCAGGTGTCCTGGAGCCTGGACCACAAGAGCACCCATGCGGGCACCTATGAGGTCAGATTCTTTGACGAGGAGTCCTGCAGCCTCCTCAGGAAGGCTCAGAGAAATAACGAGGACATTTCCATCATCTCGCCCCTATTCACAGTCAGTGTGGACCATCGGGGCACCTGGAACAGGCCCTGGGTGTCCACTGAGGTGCTGGCTGCAGCGATCGGCCTGGTGATCTACTACCTGGCCTTCAGCGTGAAGACCCACATCCAGGCCTGAGGGCGGCACCCCAGCCCTGCCCTTGCGTCCTTCAATAAACATCACAGGGGAAAAAAAAAAAAAAAAAAAAGTGGCCTCCACAAGGGCCCAAAGGTGGGAGGATCACTTGAGTCTGGGAGGTTGAGAATACAGTGAACCAAGATTACATCACTGCACTCCAGCCTTGGTGACACAGCAAAACTCTGTATCAAAAGAAGAAGAGGGCAGAGTAGGAGGAGGAGGAGAAGGGAAGAAGGAAGAAAGAAAAGAAAAGAAAGAAGAAGAAAGAAAGAAAGAGAAAGGAGAAGAAGACCTAGCTAGCAATACACAAAGAAAAAATACAACAAAAACCAAAACAAAAAACAAAAACAAAAAACTGGCCAACATGGTGAAACCCCGTCTCCAGTAAAAATACAAAAATTAGCCAGGTGTGGTGGCGGGCACCTGTAATCCCAGCTACCTGGGAGGCTGAGGCAGGAGGTTCACTGGAAACTGGGAGGCGGAGACTGCAGTGAGCCGAGATTGTGCCACTGGACTCCAGCCTGGGCAACAGAGTTAGACTCCATTTCAAAAAATAACTAATTAATAAAACAAAACTATAAAAGGTTTAATCAAATAAAGTTAGTGTCATGGGAGGAAAGGGCCTTGCTGTTTCCCCTTGGATGAACAGGAAAGGTCTGTGTGAGAATAGGATGAATGAGCTGAAAGACAGGAAGAAGTCAGCCATCCAAACATTTGGGGCAAAGCATGCTTAATAGAGAGAGCAGCAAGGACAAGGGCCGTGAAGCTGAAGGATCAGAGAGAAGAGCAGAGGGGCCAAGTACCGTGTACAGTGGGCGAAGGAAGGAGAGGGCTCATGAGGATGCAGAAGGCAGGCAGGGCCATCAGGCAATTTACAGCCTAGTAGCCATGGTAAAGAATTTGGGTTTCCCACTTTTCATCTGAGGACTTTTAAGAAAATCTGGATTTTAGTCGAAGTGCAATGGAGAACCACTGCAGGGTTCTGAGCAAGGGAGTCACATGGTCTGACGTTTTCAAAAGATGATTCGGGCTGAGCTCAGTGGCTCACACCTGTAATTCCAACACTTTGGGAGGCTAAGGTGGGAGAATAGCATGTGAACCCAGGAGTTTGAGACCAGCCTGGGCAACATAGTCAGACCGAATCTTTACAAAAAAAAAAAAAGAAAAAAAAATTGGCAGGCATGGTGGTGCATGCCTGTGGCTCCAGCCACTTGGGAGGCTGAGGTGGGAGGATCACTTGAGCCTGGGAGGTTGAGAATACAGTGAACCAAGATTACATCACTGCACTCCAGCCTTGGTGACACAGCAAGACTCTGTATCAAAAGAAGAAGAAGAGGGCAGAGGAGGAGGAGTGGGGGGAGAGGAGGGGGAGAAGAAGGAGGAGAAGGGAAGAAGGAAGAAAAGAAAAGAAAAAAGAAAGAGAAAGGAGAAGAAGAAGACCTAGCTAGCAATACACAAAGAAAAAACACAACAAAAACCAAAAAATGATTCTGACTATTGGGAATGTCCTATAGAGGTCAAGAATGGACACAGGGCAACAGTAATAGTGGAAGCTACTGGAGTTACCTAGTCAAGACATGATAGTGACTTGGCCTAGGGTGGTATAGTAGGGTAGTTGCATGAATGGCCCCAACTAATGGCCTTCTGGTATCCAAGCCCTTTGGTCTATAATTTAAAGTTCCCTTCCATTCTGACTCTGGGCTTTGAGAGATGTAATACAAGTAGGGGTGTGAAAAGGGCCCATGCATCAGGGATCAATCTCTTGCATAATGACTCTGGCTTGCTCTTGGAGTTCAGCTATGCCAGGAGAACAGGCCCAGGCTAGCTGCCTGCTGGAGGAGGAGAGGCCACATAGAGCAGAGCTGGGTCATCCCAGCTGATGCATCCTAGACCAGCCAGCCTCTAGCCACTTCTCTAGGTGAGTGTGGATGCATGAGCGAGCCCAGCCAAGATCCACGTAGAGTGCTTGTTACTCAGCATTAGACAACTGATATAAATTATAGGAAAGGTATGAAGAAAAACTTTGGGTCTGGAATATGTTTTAGAATTAGAGAAGGCAGAACGGCTGACATTTAGGATAGTTACCCATCCTCTGGCACATGTAATTCAACGTATCAAAATGATTTGAATCTAGCAAAAAAGCATATATTCCGTAATCCTGATAAATGACCCATTTTTATTGTGGTTGTTAGGATCTCACTCTGTCACCCAGGCTGGAGTGCAGTGGCACAATCATAGCTCACTGCAGCTTCAACCTCCTGGGCTCAATGATCTTCCAGAGTAAACAGGACTACAGGCATGTGTCCCTAGGCCTAGCTATTTTATTTTAATTTTTTTTTATAGTGATCAAGTTTCACTATGTTGCCCAGGCTGGTCTCAAACTCCCAGCCTCAAGCGATCCTGCTGCCTCAGCCTCCCAAAGCACTGGGATTATAGGCATGAAGCACCACACCCAAACAGCACATTTGTAATCACTAGTATTTTCATCTATTCTGAAAATCCAGGTCAAAGTAAAATCAAGAGTTCCATTTAATTCTGTGATGCTCAAGTGTGGTAGTGCAGAGACTTAGAGCAAGCCAAAACTTTGACAATGGGGTAAATTTGGGTGACTTGAGGGGACAGGAACTTAAAAGGGGAGGAGCATACAGAAAGGCACAACTTCTCCAAATGAGAGAACATCATTATGATGGAGGCACCATTAAAAATTTAATTCATAGAAATTTGGCTGTGGTTCCAAGGAAGAGGTTTTGATACAATATTGTTCCAAATGAAAGTTATTCAAGAAAATAAATTAAGCAAAAGACCTAGAAATTGGCATTTGACTTCATTTGTTGCTTTGAAAGCCTGGGCAAAATCATATTTCTGAATTCAGCCTGATCAAATCTTCCTGGATCAGTATGTGCCAGCAAAGGAGACTAATAGATAGAGGTGGGATTAAGAGTAAGAAATTCCTGGCTCCATTATCAATTTCTCCAGGGAAATAGTTTCACCTGTGTCTCATATCAAGTTTCACCAGAAAACGGACTCAGAGATAGATGTGTGCTTGCAAGTTTATTGAAATACGCTCTCGGGAACAACACCCCTTGCACTAAAATATCAGAAAACACCACTAAAGGACTTATCCACTTAACCAAAAACCAGCTGAACCCCCAAAACTATTGAAATAAAAAAAATTTTAAAAAGAAACACCACCCTTGGGGAAGGAAAGAAAGCCAGATAGGGCAGCGGAGAAATTGCACTTGTGGTGATGTTGTAATAAAGCCTTTAGTCAATCTCAGGGAAAGGCTCGAAGCTTGGATGGTTCATCAAAGATGCCATCACTGAGATAAAGGGTCTTGTATTCACTTTAAAACAACAGAACAGCAGATTCAGGCTGACTCCGGAGAGGAGAGTAACCTTGGTGACATGGCTCCCTTCTGCCAAGAGCAATGACGGAGGAAGCACTCAGGTGTAATCCCTTAGCAGGCAGTACTCCAGCAGCTGGAGAACACATGACTTGGTCCTGGAGGGCAAATCTGGAAGCCAACAGCCGTGTCCACTACACTCCATCAAGCAAAGACACCCATCTTTTCATCCCACCTCACTGAGAGAAAAGATACAGAAATTCACTCAGGCGGGACCATTCATAATGCCTTTCCATGACCTTGATGAGGTCAGTGTCATGTCACAATGAGTGGAGAAACTGAGAAATGAGGAAGCAAAGGCAGAAAATAGAAGCTTTGTTATGAAGGAAGGAGGTGGAGAGAAGGAGAAAAGCTGGTAGTGATGCAGAAGAAAGAAGAGATGCAGAGAAAATGTTTATTTTTTGAATGTTGGAGAGATTTGATCATGTTCATAGAGTGAGGGAAGAGTTAAATAAAGGTACTGAAAATACAGAAGAGAAAAAATAATTGAGAAAACAAAGGTCAAATAAACCCCAGAGACTAGAATGGAGCATTCATGCAGAGATGAGGTTTCTGAGAGAAAAAAAGGAGAGATGGCTGCAGAGACACTGGAAAGAGAAAGGGTGAAGGAATTCAGGGCTGCCAGGGCTTTATTACTCCCAGGAAAGCAGGGGTCTGAGTCTCCTGCTGAAAGTGACAGTCTCAGGGTAGCTTCGGGATTTGAGGTAAGGAATGATGTCCGGAAGTTGTCATCTTAGGAAATGGGTAAGCGTGTTGGACAAGAATGAGAAAACCAGAGAGGCTAGAAATTATATGACGCTCGTAGAGACAGTGCTGACTCAGTTTTTGGCTTAGGTTTTGCTTTTGATTGGGGTTTTTTTCCCCACTGTGGACTATTTCACCTCGGGAAACAGGAATGGAAGACATGAATGGTTGTGCCAATGCTGGATTGGCTGATGTGGTGGGACCACAGGGAAGAGAAAACTATGGGTGGTGATGAGAGCTTGTTTGAAATAACTGAAGACAGCTAAGAAGGAAAGCCAAGCCAGAAGTGGGGCTTGTCAACTTGGATAATTGGCTGGGACCAGAATAAGGAGAGGTTTACTGGAAGTAGAAGATAACAGTTTGGGACCGGGCACGGTGGCTCAAACCTGTAATCTCAGCACTTTGGGAGGCAGAGGCAGTTGGATCACCTGAGGTTAGGAGTTTGAGACCAGCCTGACCAACATGGTGAAACCCCATGTCTACTAAATACAAAAAATTAGCCAGGCGTAGTGGCACATGCCTGTAATCCCAGCTACTCAGCAGGCTGAAGCAGGAGAATCACTTGAACCTGGGAGGCAGGGATTGCAGTGAGCCGAGGTTGTACCATTGCACTCCAGGCTGGGCAACAAGAGTGAAATTCCATCTCAAAAAAAAAAAAAAAACCAGCACTTTGGTATGGTGACCAGATAGGGGGCTGCTGAAGTGAAGGGAAAGTATCCCCACTTGCCCATCAGGAATTTTATCTCCAGCCTTGTCAACCAGCAATGATATTGGGGTTTAAATCTTCCTGGTCTTGCTGGCTCTTGCTTCCCTCCTGCCTAAGAAGCCAGTAGCCACCTGGCTCATCAGGCCCATGCTCGACAGTCACATCTTATTACCCTCTGACTCTCAGATCCCACTGATCCTTCGCTCTCTCCTTCAT